TTCAGGTTTGTATTAGTAAGCAATACACCTTCTCGTTTCATTGAAACACATTGAATAATACCCGCAAAACAGTACAAACCTTTATTGGCAGATTAGCCAAAATTAAGGATATTGGTGCTATAGATTCCACTCCTAGATGATTTTACAGATCATGGGTTTCCTCCAATCCGACCTCCATTTGCTGCATCAGAACCCTAGACTGTAGTGGCTTTCTGAGAAATCATGAATCAAAGGAAGTGTAGAGTAGCCCAGAAGGAACCAAGCAACCAATGACTCTTTAGATAAGCTGCTGCTCTTTTCTACCAACAGGTTAAAGGAAAATGCACCACAGACCACATCAGCGCTGCTGGACCTTGGCTGAAGTACCGCGGCCACCTGGACAACATCTCCAACAACCTGCTTATAGGTGCAGTGAACATCGAGAACGGTGCTGTCAACAAGGTAAAGAACCAGCTAACCGGAGAGTATGGAGGCGTTCCAGATGTGGCTCGCCACTACAAGGTGAGATTGTAAACCAACATCTGTAACCTTTTATTATTGTTCTCATAATTCTGTGTTCAACATTAATCCTTCCTGATAAAAATCTAGGCCAACGGTGTGAGCTGGGTGGTGGTTGGAGATGAGAACTACGGAGAGGGATCCAGTCGGGAGCATGCTGCCCTGGAGCCACGACACCTGGGAGGACGCGCCATCATCGTCAAAAGCTTCGCCAGAATCCACGGTAAGCTTCTCTGCGGACAGCGGATGGAAAATGTTCCTGTCATAATTTTTGATTCTTCTCATCGAGTCCAAACCCACATTATTAGAGTTAAACAGGGAAATCTAAACCGCATTCCGCTCTGTCTGTTAAGGATTTTTGTACACATGGCTAAACCGTTTTTAAAGATTTATATCATGGACCAATTCAAAAAAACAAAAACGCTACAGTTAACCTGGTTTCTGAACTTTGACTAGGCCATTTTAACACATGAAGCAAGCTTTTATATTGCTTATTAAGCATTTGAGTCTTGTCTCAATGGATTCCAAAATTTCACATCTCCATCATCTTGACAAATGTTTAAACAGAAACATTTTGTCATTAAAAAAAGAAAATAAAGAACTTTTGACCTTTTGCAGTACTTTATTTATTGAATGATTTGGTTTAGTTACACTTTGTTTATTTTCACCAGGAAATGGAAACTTTAAATTCTATTGTTGGAAGAATTAAGAGACTGACTGTGTCAGAAAGCTGTTCACACTAATTAACAAGTTGGGACTGAGAATGAAAGCAGAAAATAAAGAGTTGTGTGTTTTCTGTTGGTACCTAAAAGTTTGTTTTTGAACACCTGAGCTTGTCAAGCAGCTCTGAGCTCAGGCTCTAGCATTGCTGCAGTAAATGTTAAATGTAGAAGCAACTTAAACCTTTTTCATCAGGATCTTCTGACAGTCTTTCCTTAAGCTTTGGCTCAAACGGTTCGTTAGTGTTTTAAACGCATCGGAGGGAAAGAAACATGAGAAACTAATCAGGTTTTTTTTTTCTAGTAACTAGAAGGTGATCAACTTGGTTATGACATCATTCTGACCTTCAAACAAATCAACAGATTATTAATCAAATTAAAACAGGGTAAATTGGAAACGCCACATAAGTTGTAAATCAGTTTGTACTCAAACAAATACCATCACCTCCATCCAGTACCACTAGAGGGAGGCAAAAACCATCAGGATAAAGAACATTTCATTAAAGCTCTGGTTTTATCTTTAGCTTCAACTTTAGATTTTATTTATTTGTTTCCTCCAACATGTTTTACTTGACTTATTGCCCCATATTTGGCTCCATCCATCTCCATATTGTCTTTGCCTCACTGTATATGCACATCATGATGCTGCCACCACCGTGTTTCATAAAGGCGATAATGAGCAGCATTTTAAAGCTTTACAGAAACCTGGTTTTCTCACCTGTGTTTCTCCATAAAGCATAGCCTTCTTCTTTGGTTATAACCTAAAAGTATCGGTTGGTTTATAGTAAGTAATTATTTTTAACCTCAGCACCTATTCTACAGAGACCAATCTGAAGAAGCAAGGCCTGCTGCCGCTGACTTTCGCCAATTCCAGCGACTACGACAAAATCCGCCCAGATGATAAGATTTCAATCACCGGCCTCAAGTCCTTCGCCCCTGGCAAGGTGAGCAGCGCGTTGCCCCGGTGACTCATTCATCTTAAGAGCAGCCCACATTTCTTACTGATGCATGATCCTCCTACAGCCGCTGACAGCTGTGATCAAGCACAGCGACGGAGGCGAGGAGTCCATCTCTCTGAACCACAGCTTCAATGAGACGCAGATCGAGTGGTTCAAGGCCGGCTCAGCTCTCAACAGGATGAAGGAGCTCCAGTAGAAAAATGGCAGCCAGGTCTGGATCAAGTTCATCTGTAGTCCTCCTTCAAGATACATCACTCATGCATTAATAAGGTCGCTGTATCGATAGAAAGCGCACACACGAATACATTTACCCTCCAGCTTTACTAGCTGAATTGCACAATTTGAATCTAACTAGCACAGAATATAAACAGAAATCCCGGTTTCTTCAGCATATTTTCCTCCTTTAGTATTCAGTTCACTTTTATATGCTCCACCAGAACTGGAACCACTGCTGCATCTGAAACAGTCCAATTACACCAGCATATGTTGAAAGATTTCATTGAAGTCTGACGTAATCAAACAAGAAAGTAAATGTGTTTAATGAAAAAAAAAAACTTGAAGCTTTAAAATCTCTTAGAACTCAATCCACTCCAAGATTATTCTTGTTTTTCCACGTACTTGTTTTTCCACATACCTCATTTTAAATGTTTGTCCTAATGTAGCTTCCAATAAAACCAACCAATAAGCTGATTATTCTGTTTTAATTTTATGATGTCTGATTATTTTTGTCTAACTTTTTAACTGTGAATTCTGAGGCAATCCAACTCGACTACTGACTCGAACAAATGTCCTTTCTTGGTCCTGAACTAAATAATCCGTTAGATTGCGACACCCATCTTAAAATGTCATTTAAATCGATCTGTATTTTATTTTTTCTTCTTCTAAATAATCTGCTGTCTGCATTGTCAGCTGCTGCTCACTCTGCTCTCGCTTGGGTTTCTGTTGAACCAATTTCCAACTGGATTAAAAACTTCAGCAACTGGCCCTTCCCATAATGCTGCCTTATACTGCGCCTTGCAAATGCATTCATAGTACTTTAACTTTTTACATATTTTGTGAATTAACGTATTTCAGGTTTCATTTTTGAGATGGAGCAACATGGGGAACATTGATCGATTTAAAAAAAAAAAAAAAAAAAAAAAAAAAAAAAAAGGAAATTTCAGTTTAAAAAATTTTAATCTGAAAACTTATTTTGCATCAACTTTCTTTTAATAAACTGTAATTCACACTGAGATAAAATTATGCAAAAGGTGACCTTTGAAGACAGTTTTCTGGACCTGGTTTCATTTATTTCTGTTGTGTGTGAAAATATTTGCGTTCCGCACTTTCCAGATACTACTTTGTCTTTCACTTTTGAACCAAGCCATACTTTGTGTCGCTCTGTTAGGTTAAGTCAGAATAAAACGCATCCAAGGTTTAAACGTAACAAAAGTGTTAAAAAGTCCAAGTCTTATGAAACTTACGCAAGAAACTCTAACTCTTTTTAAGTGACAAAAATCTCAGCGTAATTCCTCACCAATCAGATGAGATTATAATTGTCCTAATGTTGTAACTTTACCATATTTCCCTTTTCCTATATTAATAAACATGAGAACAACTTGGTTGTTCAACGTTGGGCGGTAGAGTAGTAGTAGTTATCCAGGGTTCATCATGAGTAAATACGTCATCATCATGGTGTAGAAAACTGCTGACAGGTGATTTGTTGTTCTTGTAGTTTTCAGGTAAAATCCTACGGAGCTTCTCAAATCGTTTCATGTTTGTCTGCTAGTCTGCTTGTTTGTGTCGACTTTATTTCCCCTTAATGTGACTTTGATGAGATTATGTGAAAGTTCAAATGAATGTCTGAAGTTATTTTAGTGACGGGAAAGCCGCCAACGCACAATCTAGTAACCAGGTGCCTGTACTCTTGAGCTTGCGGAGTGAAGAAATTGCTTTGACGTGATTATACTGCCTGCCTTTTTTTTTTCTTTTCTTCTTATGAATAAAACTGAAATCAAAGAATGTATCTTTGATGGTAAGAAAAACTGAGCTCTGTAGGATTGTGCTTTAAATGTTTCAAATGTTCTTTATAAGTTTCCATCTCTAAACCAGCGGAGGTGCGAAGTGACCTCAATATTTTAATCCTATTTTTGTACATTCATGTCTTTGATGTTGGAAAAGTTAAAACCTGGTTTTCTGAGGGTTTGCAAATATCTAATGGTTTAACTATCTTATTTTGATCATGTTTCCCTGTAATGATTAAGTTGGATGTATATTTCTGATTGTGTATTTAAAAAAAAATCTACATTAGTACAGGAGATGAATATTTTCGTGTATAACTGACATACCACAGAGAAAGCTAACTTTAAAGGAGCATGCTGCATTGTTTGTAAGGGAGCTGACTTCATGCCTAAATGTGTTAACTTTGTACTAAATATAAAAAAAGGGTGGTGATAAAGTTTGATTAATTTGATTAAGATGATTTTCTGATTGAATATCTTGTACACTCCACTGCTTAGCTTTTTTAACACTGAAGACTTGATTGGAATAAAAATTGGTTAAATGTTATGAAAATATGATTTACCTGGTTTAAATTTTTAGTGTTTCCTATAAAACATTTTCTTTTTTGTTCCATACAACCGTGATCACCCCATTTTTTCCCCTCTAAACATTGAAAAACATTATATCTGTAAAACCAGATGAGGCTTTGCTGCTGTTTTCGTTTCAGATTGCATGTGTAGGATGACTAACCTGTGAACCATATGGTGGCATTATCTTTTTTGTTAAACTCAGATATCTGTGACCTCATACATGTTATAATTTAATTTTGGTTCCTCTTTTATCATGTTTCTCTTCATAGGATTCTTTTGACTTAATTTTTGTAAAAGTAATTTGCTGTTTTTTAGCGTATAAACTTGCAATATCTTATTTACAAATGGAAACAATAAAGAAAATCTAAAGTCATTGTCTTCTTCTTTTCATCTTAATTTTGTAATAAAGGCACCCATTCCCGACATATACAGGAAATTTAACAGGACAACTATAGACACAATATCTGATGTCATTAAGGTTGAAATATGTGTTAAGCAACTAGCCTTTATCAAAAATACTGATAGATTAGATATAGCTCTGTAATTTAATAAGTAATCTTATGAAGAGGTATCTTTATGAGGACTTTCTATAAACCAGCAACATATTCTCTTCTAAACATATACATTCCCTCAGATTTCCACCTCAATTTTAGATGTGATTAATCTCTCCTTGTTCCAGGGATATGTACCAAAGGCTTTTAAGGTAGCTGTAATAAAACCTTTACTTAAGAAACAATCTCTTGACCCAGATGGCTTGGTCAATTATAGACCTATATCCAATCTTCCTTATCTAAAATTCTGGAGATAGTAGTTGCTTAACAAGTATGTGACCACTTACACCATATTTGAACTTTTTGAAGAGTTGCAATTTGGTTTTAGAGCTCATCAGCACTGAAAATGATATTCCCATGGCCTCAGATTATAGACTTGTTTCTCTACTTGTCGTGAAAGGTCAACAAGAGAATGTAAGTTAATATCTGCTGTCACCACAAGCTGACCCAGGATCAGCGCACCCCGCAAGTTCATGACTTGATGCAAACAGCGGCATGTGCTTTGACAGAAAAATAATGACTAATCTGACTGTATGATCTAATTGAACTGTCTGTAATGTAGCTGAAAGAAAGTGTTGTGAATTGGCGCCATATAAATAAAATGAATTAAAGTTGCAGGACACCTGCCCTTGAGGATTAAAGTTTGATACCCTCACAGACTTCAAGAGGACTCTTTTGAATGTATTAAACCCGATATCCTGGAATTTGTAGATAAACTGTGAAAATGTCTGCTTTCCTAAAGCCATGAAATGATTTGTATAACTATTTTAAACAGTATTTATCCTACCTTAAAGGTATAGCCGGTGTTCGTTTTCTAAGTAAGTGGTCCTTTTAATTGTCAATTATTCTAGCAATATGTTGTTAGGCCGTCCTACGTTCTCGTCCCCATTTTCACTAACCGGTGGTGAGTCTGAAATAGTGGAAAAATTGCAAATCTATTTTTGGAAAGTAAGCTTGAATGAGTGATGCAAACAGCAACTTTTAAACAAAGCATGCATGAGGAGAAATGGGCTCATGCATGCTCTCGCAGGTGTTCAATAGGTGTTCCCTCTCTGGAGCGGGCACAGGGTTGTGCATGTGCATTTTTTTTTTTTTTTTTTTAAGTGGAGAGGGTGGATCTTTTAAAAAAATTGAGAAAATCCTCCATCATACCTTTAACTTGACTAGGCTAATTTCTGGTTTATCATACATTAAAATTAGTGAAGGCTGGCAAGCTACAAAATGTTACATTTCAATCTTTAAATTAATATTTTTGAGGTTTTCTTTTTCTTTTCTTTTTTTTTACAGTAATTGTAATGGAATGTATTAGGAGAGCTTGACTATGGCTGTGGAAAAGGCAGTTAAAAATTGCCCGAACGCTGTAGGAGCGGTGTAATTCCACGAGGGGGCGGTAGTGAGAGTGGAAGGCTGTCGCACGAACAAGAAGAAGAAAAAGAGAGGCGCACTGTCGCAAAAACTCACGTTGGTTCAGTGTCATGTTGGACAGGAGTTTAATCGCTGGAAGCCGTTTTAATTTAAAAAAGAAAACAAAAAACTAAAAATGCTGTGAGCTTAAACTGAGCATCCCTCCTCTTGCCCCTCGGCGGTGTTTTGGACCCTGTGAGCGGCGTTGCTCCGCTCCCCGGTGCTTAGTGGTGATCATGTTCATGCTGGTGGAGATGGTGGACACTGTTCGGATCCTGCCGTCTGATTTCGAGAAACAGTTGAACGATGCCGTAGCGGAGGAGCTGAACAAAAAGCTGGCCAACAAGGTGAGGGAGGGCATGATGCTGAACGAAGATCCAGAAACAGGAGATTTTACGGCAGCCAGGAAAATTTACTGCAGCCATGAGTTTATCAGCCAGTTGGCCTCACAAGCTTTACATAGAGCTACAGATGTCTGCTCTTATCGTTTATTTTAAATGTAAAAAAATAAATAAGTACATTTTAAACCAGATTTACTGTCATTAAATTAAACTAAAATGTTTTAGGTTAGATTAAAAATAAATAAATGATATAAATTTATATTTACACTTTGTGTTGTATAGTGGGGGGTTTGCAGTGTAGTGTTTGTCTGGGATGTGACTGTGGTGGTGATGTATAATGTCCACACACAATTTCATGTCTAAATTTATTTATTTTTTTCTTTAGTCAGATATGAACTTTACAAACAACCTATTTTGAAATTTTTCTGGTGCTATATAAAACATGTTTTCTTACACCCTAAATGCATCACCAAGATTTTTTATTTTAACCTTTGAAAAGCAAAAAATAAAGTTTCAGTTTCATCTACACCCACTTCATCTGTTTTTCATGCCATAATTTTTATAATGCTATGTAAATCCTGAACTTAATATACATAAAATTATATTATTAATCATTTTATTTTAATACAAGACAACAAACCATCCTAATTAGATGGATAGAAAAAGGAATTAAATGACAGAAATATATAATATAAAGGATCAATGAGTGCACACTTCCACATAAACTCCTTTTAATTGGTCATAGTTTGTGCCTGTGCTGCATTCACCTGAGCTGGGAAATTACAAAACTTAATGTGATATAATATCGTAGAGCAGCTCAGTTAATTTCTTTTATTTCTTCAGTGAGAAAAATATCTGGAGCTTGATGTGAATCATTTAAGGTCATAGAGTGGAAATGCCCAGGCCAGGAAAATCCACCAATATAAACCTTAATAAGTTCATCTTGCAAGTATATCTGAAGATTTGTTCAATCGAGAAGGTGTTTATCAGCCCCAAAACAAAAGCAAAACATGTTCCAAAGATTCTTTAGCTACTGCAATAAATGTGGCTATCAGAAGTTAGACTGTTTGCACTATATGCTGCCACTTAAAACTAAACTCTCTCAACCCAGGTGGTCTACAATGTGGGTCTCTGCATCTGTTTGTATGACATCACCAAGCTGGAAGACTCGTATATTTTCCCCGGTGATGGCGCCTCGCACACTAAAGGTATGAAGATGAAGGTGCTGGATCATTTAAACACCACCCTGACTGCTGTTATATTCACCAATAAATTAATCTTCCAGATTCCTGATCCTCTTTCATTCTGTTTTTATTTTTTAGTCCACTTCCGGTTTGTCGTCTTCCACCCGTTCCTCGATGAGATCCTCATCGGGAAGATCAAATACTGCAGTCAGGAGGGAGTTCATGGTAATTTCTAACCTCCATCATTCATCATTCTGCTCATACAAACACACGTCTTTATAAATATATATAAAGAAACATGGAAGAACTAAGTATACCCACTGATTCATTAGTGGAAATGATTTTTTTCCTATCTGTTCTGTTCAGTCTCTTAGAGCTGGAGAAACTTCCATCCAAACATTTTTCTCTCTTGCTGTAGTTCAGTGAAATCGTTACCCTTTGCTCCTGCACTGTTCTCTCTGTTCTCTGCAAAGCTTTGCAGGAGAAGGTTTGGACTTTGACTGGACCATTGCAACACCTCATCTGTTGTTTTCTAGCTTCACTGTAATAGATTTTATGATGTGCTTGATTAATTCTGACGTCTATTCTCTGACCCAGATTTGACTCCCACCTGAACTCTTGATCCACAACTTAGAACCTGCTAAAAACTTTCCAGAGTTTGCACGTTGGTCCTCCAGATCATAAGAAGATTCTAAGTTACTGTTAGAGTTATAATTATAAAATTAATATGTGTGCATATGAAACATTGAAGAAATAAGATGCTACATTAAGTTACACTTCAGTACTTAAAAAGAAATGGGATTATAGACTTTGCAACGTCGCACCAATCATGGTACTTTTAAAGGGTTTTAAAGAAGTTCTGTTCCTGTTTGGTATTTTATGAGAAGCAGCTATTTTTTTCCAAATGGGATCCTGTGGATCATGGCCAAATAGTCTCACTCAGACCTCAAATGTCTTGAGAAGATGCAGAATTACAACCTTATTAATGTTCTTCTATAATAGAAAAGGTTTTCTGCTGCACACCTTCCACCCAAACCTGTTCGGTCTTGCTCTTCTCCTCCTGTTAACGTTTCACATACTTCCTGAGGCCTGTGCCGTTTCAGACATGACTTGTGGTTTCTTGGTAATTTTCTCTGAGCATCACCAGGTCTGACTTTGGTATAAATTGGGAACATTTTTCTTCTCCCAGTTGGATGTTGATGATTCCTGTAAATTTTCAGTGTTTATTGCTGTTTTCTTTCCTGGTTGGCATTGTGTGCAGCTGTGAGCAGCAAACTATACTTCTGCTTTAGCATAGGTGCTAACAGCTGCTCATGGTAAGTTAGTTAAGATCATTAAAGCTTTTAGGCCCAGCCAGCCCCTAAACACTAAACCCTGAGAAATAACCCTCCATTTGTATTTTGCCGCGGAGGGTCCGGCACTTTAAGTGCCACTTAGTGGGTTCCTAATATGCGAAACGTTCAGCCCTTAAAAATAAGGACTGGAATCCCGCCGCAGGTCTAAAGGCGGCCTGGTGACGAAGGAAACTCTTTCCGCCAAATGTAAATTCCGCTGGTTTGCTGCATCTTCATCACACTCACAGAAAATCACAAGTTAGTATATAAAAAAAGAAAAATAATACCAAAATGGAACGTCCTCTTTGAAAAAGTTTTATTTGACCATATATGTTTGTTTTAAGAAAGGGGCAAATTTTGAATGTTATGTTAAGCTGCGCCGCTAAGCTGTGTTGCCATAGCAACGGCTGCTATCCTTTTCTGTTTAAGGGAAGAAGCCGTCCCATTCTCGTTTATACCCCCCCACCTTCAATCAAGGCGCCTCCACAGCTGGTAGTGAGACTTCATCGGGAGTGACACTTGATAGTGAAGGGTTAGTGGTTAGGGAACGTTTGGGCCTTAGTGTTCCCTTCAAGAACCTAGTGGAAGCGGCAAATATGTAGCTTGGTTTGCCTACGACTGGATAGTAGAATGAATTTGGCTCTATGGTCTTAACAAAATTGCAACTATTTTAACCAATACTGAAATTTTATTCAATTTTCCTTTGCTCTAACCCGAAGTTTGTTGATGTTTCACCCCAGGCTTTTAGTTTTTGAAATCTTGCCTTTCCAGAGTTTGTTGTTGCAGAATTTTACTGTGTAAAGGTGCTTACTTCTTCTTGCATTGACTGATCTTCATGCTAGCTGCAACTCTCTCTACCTTTCTGTGCAGACAAACCCAGTTAAGAGTTTTAGCGCCACCTAGAGGGCTGAAGTGAAAATTTTGGTGTCCTACTTTTGTTAAATGTAGTGTCATTAAAATTGAGAGCCTCTAAGATTTGAAAATTCTGTTTTGTTAAATTGTAATTATATTGCAAATGCAATTAAATGCCCAGCCCTAATTGGCACAAAATGTTATTTTCTTTTTTTACAAGAACAGCCAAAATATTTTAGTTTGTCTTTAAAAAACAAATTTCTAAATCAAGCTTTTAAAGTCTATGTTTTTTTAAAGAAATATGTAATTATTCCTGTTCATTTATAACCTATAACACATTTATTTCACTGTTTTCATGGTGAATAAAAGGCCTTTGGTAAGTTTTTCATGTGGTTAACCTCTGCTTACAGTGACAATGGATTTCTTCGATGACATTCTGATTCCACCAGAGTCTCTTCAGCAACCTGCCAAATTGTATCCCGACCATAAGAATAATGGGGAGTCGTTGTTTAACACGCTTTGCTGTCTGTGTCACTAAAGCAATGGTTTGAGTTGACGTTCCTTAGCTGTAGCCTCAGTGATGAAGCAGAGCAGGTTTGGGTCTGGGAGTACGAGACGGACGAGGGAGCGCACGACCTTTACATGGACCAGGGAGAGGAGATCCGCTTCAAGGTGGCAGACGAGGTGTTTGTGGACACGTCGCCAACGGGGCCGACCGTCGCCACGTCTGATACTCCTGCACAACCTGGACAATCGACTGCACCGCCTGCAGAAGAGAGTGCAGAGAAAAAAGAGGCTCCGTACACGCTGATCGTAAGGATTGTTTAATTCTGTGTAAACTAACAGATATTTACTGTGTTTTCTCTAAAGGTCAGATGTTTAGGAACATCCAATAAATTACAAACTTCCCTGACACCAAAATTCTAAAGTTAACCTAATTGTTAAAGTTGAAAGCAAAGCAAACTCTTTTCTTATTTCTTTAACATGTTATCTTTCATCCTAAAAGCTTCCTTAGTTCTAAACTAAGGCTAAAACAAGTAATTAGATTACTCCAATAATCTTCAGGTGATTTAGTAATCAAATAATTGTCATGTGACTAAGAGCAGCAGTTGATCTAAATCTGCACATAATCTAAATGTTTTGCATTTAAACCTTTAAAAGTTTGGCCATAAATATGCTCTCTGCAAGTAGCGTTTCTTTGCATTGGGTTCTGTTTTACATAGTAAATAAATATCCCTCAATGAAAAGATACAAAAGATATTTTTAATCGATGAATTGAAAAACGTATTGCTAGATTAATAGAGATGGCTGCAGCACTAATCTGATGGTGCTTTTTATGTCTCATACAAGTTGTTGTCAAAACAGTCGCACTGTTTAGGGCCTTCATGGTCACTTATGCCACGTGAGGCGATGCTCCATTCCTTTATTTGGTTTGATCTTTATCGTTGTCATCTGACAGTTTCTTTTGGTCACGTCTCAAGGCATGAACGACCTATTAAACTGCTAAGGGAAACCGGTAGGGCTGCATTTTAGGTTGATTAAAAATGGAGCCCGATTGATTCCGTTAGATGTTTTCCTCGTTTCTTCTTCCACCATCAAAAGTGTCTGAAATCACTTCTTCAAAAAATTTCCCTTTTCCTAAAAGTGCTTTTGAAAACGGTGTCCTTGCCTCCTCAGGTAGTTTGCAGTATTCCATCTTTTTTTATTGTCATTCCACTGTCACAAGTACAAAGCAACAAAATGAACTTTCTGCATTTAACCCATCCCATTGGGGAACAGTGGGCTGCCATTGCACTAGATTGTAGTGAGTACTGATGTACACGTATGCTGGTGAAGATTCTCAGTCATCCAGTTCATAGTCATTCCCAAAAGAATAAAATGAAAAAACAATCCACTGAACTTTGTTTCCAAATTTGAAGACGTTTTGCTTTCCATCCAGGAAGCTTTTTCAATTAAAAATGTATGCAAACCTTAAGAATTATGAGCGAATAAAACTCATTTTTATCTTTAGGTGACATATTTGGACATTTAATCAGATCAGAGAGTAGGGTCAGTCACTTACATTACATTAGTCACGCTTTTAAAAACCCCCTCGACTAATTAAGATTTAACAACATTAGTGATAAAGGACCCATTAGTGACCCTAAAGACCTGTGAGTGACCTCAGCCACCCATTAGGTGTGTGGTTTTTAAATCCGATACATATCTGGTCTTTTCAAAAGGGACCTGTGTCTGTAGGGCCAGGTTGCATTCATCCGACCTGAACGTCGATATTACAAGACATAGGTCACTATTCTGCATCTTGCAATGTAGAAGTGGGAAGAAAAGTGACAGCCATTGCGGACAATAATGCAAGAGCAGTTTTTTTTTCATCCTTCTTGAAAAGTTTGCATTGTTGATCCGCTGCCTCCGGTTGCAAAAGAAATGAAAGATTGCTAAATGCACTACAGCACTACCATCCATGTTACTTCCATTAACACAGAGCACTTATTACGCCATCGCTTGCCACTTGTGATTTCATCACGTCCTCTGTTGTGAGTGCGGGATGCTTAAGTTGTATACATGCAGTTCACACAGGAAATCACATACAGGTTGCATATATTTGGAAATGTTATAACAATCGGATTTTACCCAAAACAAATCGGAATTGAGCATTAAACCCTGCAGTGTGAGGATAGCCTTAATGACCTCAGGGACCCATTAGTAACACGTTACAGTAACTAAGTTACTTTTTGTGTACCGGTAACTAATTATTTGATCAAAATCAGTAATGCATTAGTCATTACTGCGCCTTAGACAGATTTTTTATTCATTACTTACCGGGTATAAAAAAGGACTATAGTTTCCTGGTGTAAGCGCACGTGTCAGCAACGTGCACCTGTAAGCTGATGTGGGGCACAAAACAGCTGTGTGCACAACTCAGAGGTGAGACGATTGCAGAAAGGTTTCCTACAGAAAAAGCTCTCGCTGAAGGCTAAAGGTTGCAGTGATTTGCTCATCATGTTGAATACAAAGCCTTTATCCATTTCTGTTAGAAGCTCCGTATATCAGCTTAACTCACTGACAGCTGCTGCGTTTAATCAACACATGTTCTTTACTTCCTCACAGCTGTAATGATTTCACTTGCATGTTTGCGTTTTTAACTTGTACATGTATATATAATATCATATTGAAACTCTTGTCAAACCACATGCATCAAAAAGCATGATTTGTGGACCTTTTAATAATTTTATTTTTTAATTATTAAAAAACAACTGAACTCCAAAACTGAACCTCTAGTTCAGGAGTCACCAACCTGTTTAAGGTTGAGGGATGCTGAGTCAATGTAACGGCGGCCAATTATGACCTATGACCCGGAGGGGTCAGCTTTTATCATAACTTAATGCTTAATAAACATATTTATTGTTTAAATTTCTAATAGATATTAGATACTTTCATATTTAAATCTCTATAAATGCTCTATATGATTAATATATATAGAAATGCTCTATAAATGATTAAAAACAAAGAGCAACAGGATAAAATAGAATTTCAAACATAGTCCACTGGTGAGTTTATCTGTTTTCAGAAGGTGCTGAGAGCACCCCATATGGTCCTGAAGGGCACCCTGTCAGTGACCCCTGCTCTAGTTATATATAAAACTCCATTAACAGGAAAGTTTTCAAAATTCTTCAACACTTTAGATCATAAAAAGTAACTGCATACTTTGGTTTGTAACAAGTTACTAAGTTGATTACTTTTTTGAAGAAGTTACTAGTAACAATAACTACTTACCTAACCCTAACTTACCCAACACAGTTAGTGATGTTACTACCCAGAATTCTTCTCTTTCTGTGCCAACGTCTTCCTAATATAAGGCCTCTTTTTTTCCCCACTTAATTTTAATTTTTGCAACTTACACAGACATATACATACATGCTCACATTCAGGCTGCTGCTCTATACGGTATACTTTAAAAAGGACAAAACTTTGAAAGTATATACAACGAGTTAGGCTTACAAGTAGAGTAGGTCACATGGTTAAACATAAGTAACTTACAAACATAAATGTAGTTATTAATTAAATAAGCAGAAAACATTTTTTACTGCATTAATATGGTCATGGCCAAATACAATTAATTAACAAATATGTCTTTTTGAAGCATCAGGCAATAAGTTATTTGTTCCATATGATAGATTTCTGATATAAGGCCTCTTTTAAAGTCCATTTATTAAAGTGGAAATCTAACCAATTTATTATTATTAGATCCGTACCAAATAAAAATTAGACTATAATATTACAGGTTGGGTAAGATTTCACAACAATCAGTCTAAAAGGCTGTAACCTTTGCTTCAGTTAATGTCAGGTGAATATAGCCAATGTGCTTAGAAACCTAGAAAGAACATAGGATGCAATCGTCCAAAATCTAAAGGAATAAAATATAAGCAAACATGGATCTTTTTGCAATTGTTTAAGATGTTATCCTGTCTTTAGCTCAGTTTTATCTCATTGAACCAAAGTTTCCAAAATCACTTGAATTGTTCAATTCCAGCCATCTGCAGCGTTGAGGACAAAACAATGGTCCAAAACGGTTCCAAACAGATGGGAACCGCCTCATTACCAAAAACCACTAAATCTCCAGAGTTTTAATTTGGCTAATGGTTGGCATGAAGCAGGGCATAGAAAGAAGAAATCAGGCCGCTGGAGATCAAGTTAGCTTCATTGTCATCCTTTCCATTCATTAATTAAATATTAGCCTAATAAAGTTTCTTTCAGTGCTGGAAATTCAAAGTGCAAATATAAAAAAAATGTATAACTTTTGAATTTTCTTTTTTCTATCTGAATCTACGATACAATAAATACCTGATTAGGTTAAGAGAAAACACTTTATTTTTGTTCTGTCTAGTGGTAATTAAGCCCTTTTTTTGTATTTTTGCTTCATTTTTCTCTGTTCCTGACGCTGTGACTTTAACAGCAGAAATTCCAGCAGCTTTGTTATGTGCAGTGACTCAAACTTTGGCCTGGAACGCAGCGCTCATCCTGACTCTGCGTTTTCGTTCCAGGGGACCATCTGTGAACCCGGACTGGGGCTGCTGTCCTGGTGGAACAGCTAGCACCACAGAGGAGGAACACAGTCAGTGAGCAGATGGAGCTCTGCAGCTGATCTGCAGGGACTGTAAACAGGAATCTGACCATTGGAGCTGCTTTCTGATGCAGATGTTAACCCATTATACTGTCATTGTTTCTATGTTCTTTCTATGCTCCAGTATGTATGTATTTATTAAGAGAACATTTCTATTCATTTGATTTATACAAAATAGGTTAAAAATAAAGCCAGTTTTAGTTTATTTTTGTTAAATATCAGCCACATCTATAGACCATTCTGTTAAATATGTGTAAAAAAGGCTTTAAAATATTTCACTGCAGCAGGATTCCTCTCATCAACGTTTTTCCAGAGTCCTGGGTTTTCTATAATGTGCTTTCCTCTTCAGCTTAGCCTACAGCTTGTCTGTTGGTTTTCACAGAATTTAGGTCTGGGAGCTGAGATCTAAAATCATTTTCTATCTTAAAAACCATCTCTGTGAAATTTCTCACATGAAAGAAAGTTTTGGGGAAAGAACATGGTTCCAGTTAAAGTCCCAGAGGAGTTTGGGGGATCTTTTTGTGTTTACATTTGCCATGGCAGGACATAAACAGCTTTCCTACAGCTGGTTGGAACATATTACTATGCTGCAGAAAGGATTATCATCCAGTTTAGAAGCTGGTGTCTAAAATGAACAGCCCTGTTTGTCATGTTAAATGAATACTGCAGTGAGAAAGGAAGTTGTGAGGTAACATTTAGAGATCCTCAAAGAAGTACCGGTAATTAATAAACTAAGAGAAGTTATTTTATAAGGAATGTTAAGGAGACTAATAACTATTGCATTAGTGGTTCCTAAAAAATTCCTAAATTCTGGATTTTATTTCATTTCCAATCTGGATATGGAAAATGTGAATTCTTTATATGGGTAAAAAAGGTTAGTTTGTGTGCTTTGTTTCTTTTTCTATTAGCTGACTGATAAAAAAAGTTAATTAGTGTTGTATTTATCCTTACTTGGCCACAAAGAAGAGAGTTTTCGCTCACTTTGTTGATATTTTTGGTTTTATTGTTCCCAACAGATAAAAGCACTGAATAAAAGTTTTTTTCACAGATTTTTGAGACCTTTTACGTCTCTGATGTTAAACTAGGCCCAATGTTAACATTCCTTTTTATGAGATTCAATTACAGCTATTTTCAAGGATCTTTTTTTTAATTATGGGTTTTTGGTCCAGAGTTTTGAAATTGATAACAGCCCGATTAGCTGGATAAATGTTATGTACTCAAATGGCCTTAATTTAAGCTAAAAATATTAATTTTGAATTTAAGCATTTCCAAAAAAAAAAAAATCCTTATTTTCCCATCTACTAAATAGATCTATTTTAATTAAAGGTTTGTTATTTTCTAACTTTGTGACGTGTGATTATTCTGCTGCAGTAAAGCCTTATTTCATTCTAGGGTCTTTTACTAGGGGTGCTATTAAATGGTATTTTAAAACTGACATTTTAAAACACATGAGGAGATACTTGGTGGACATAAACTCATCTTTGGCCGAACTGTTTTATTGTCCAGATCCAATCACCAGCAAAACGACAAAGATTTAACTGCAAGTCAAGCCAGTAATTTATTCCGGTCACTTTCTTCTGCAACTTATTTTCCGTTTGTGTTCTTGGAAAGAGGTGGGTCACTAGAGGACGTAGCTTCTCTGTCACTTTTATAATATTGATAGAAAAATTACAAATTGATGCATTTTAGAGGAGCTTTTCAGCTCCTGTTTTTCAGGATGAAAATTATGCAATAAAAATTTGTGATTAAGAGAAAACTGCTGAGTTGGGTGCTTTGGTTTACATTATTGTGGATTCCACAGAAAGAAAATGTTTAAATATATGCAAACACCCCCACTAGTATTTATATACAAGGTCCATAAAATTTGTTTTCAGTTCTCGACAGAGTGCGTAGACTGAAATACAACTGATTGATTTCCTGGCACATTTTTAAACGTAACATTTTTTAGAAATGTTGTATGCTTGCTCTTTGGAGATGTAAATTTTAGATATTTTTAACTATTTCAAACCATATTTAATGTATGTTCAGGATCATTTTACTGTTAGAATGCCCTTTTCAGTAGGACCCTTTCTTTGACTTCCATCAATATGTTTTAATTAGTATAAATTCAGGAGGGTTTGCCAATTAGATCAAATGAGGGGATTCTTTAAAGTAAGCTCAAAAATATTTGTGAATAATTGACACATCCGTAAAACTGTCAGAGCCAATAGAATCTGTGCCCGTTTCTAAAAATCACATATACAGTCTAATAGGAAATGAATCAAGCCAAACACAGGCAGTACTCGCATCTATGTAGCTATGGATTACAATATATAATTAACATGGATTATGACTTTAAAACCAGGAATTTATGTTCCTTTGCTTCATGAAATGAGCCTAATTATTCCCTGTAATCTGCTTGTTCAGTGAGTTTTCCATGCAGAGCAGTGACACTGATAAGCATGGTCTTTACGAACGCCCCCCTACTTGCCCAGAATTTTACATATATTGTTCTCTTGCCAATGGTCTTCTTGTTTCAGTTGCACACCTGTCATTCCTGATCCTGACAGCACAGGAGCAGGTCTTCAGCACCAGAGCAATAGAGACCCAGATCTACCATACCAGACAAGATCCCAGCTGCAGGCTATGCAAAGAGGCCCCAGTAACAATCCACCATCTAACGACATGGTGTAAAGATTCTGGCAGGAAAGAAATACATGGAAATCCATCACCAAGTGGCTGGTATAGTGGACAGAAACATCTGTGCAGGATACAAACTAGCAGAGGTGTATAAATCCAGATCCAGAAAATAAAAAGCCTGTAAAGAGATCAGTTTCAAACATCTGCATTTCCAGGTCCAAAAAATGCACACTAATCACCTGGTTAAGTGAAAAGGATGAAGGAAAACAAGGCAGGGTTTTTACTTTCTGGACCTGGATTATCCACCTCTGCAAACTGGAGACCCCCAGGTCAAAATCAGCCATCTCCTAAGTACAAGAGCCAAGATACTGTGGGACGTCCAGACACAAACAGACTAAATGGTATATTTGTGTGTGTGTGGGTTTAATTTTATTGCTTTTTCTTCTTTTTTAACTATGTTTACTTGTTTTGCTTATTATTTACCTCTCTTTGATCAAGGTTACTAGAGGTTCACCTTGAACCTGTTCTCCTGTGAAAATTATTTCTTCCCTATGGGGATAATAAGTTAATAATTATATGGTTATAGAAGTTAATGTGCTCATTATTCCACTTTTTCTATGGACCAGATTCAGTGGCGGTTCTAGACCAAATGGGGGGCCAGGAGGGGCCTGCATGTTTTCATAGGGGAACAGAAAAGCATGAAGTAAAAAACAGGGCAATGGATTCAAATATATTAATATAACTGCATGAAGGGAAAATTCTATTCAATTAGGTTTAATTAAGATTCTATGTCTTATTAGGTCAATATACATTCATAATTTAGGAATTTTACATATTTTTGACTTAATTCAAGTTAAAAATACTGCTTTCTATCAAATCTGAATTACAACTCAATAGAGCTAAAAATGTTAGTTTTTTTTTATTTTTTCTGAAAAAAACATTTCACAGATAAAAACTAGGATTCTATCTAAATACCACTGAAGCTATCACCTTATTGTTTTTAAATAATTAGTAAAACAGAATTTGTAAAGAAAAAAGTGAAATGAAAAAAAATCAGTCTGTTCCATCACATATCATTAGAATTTCTTTGAGTATTATGTCTTCAGTACAGGGGCCACAATAGGGGCCAGGACATGATCTACAGGGGCACCGGTCCTCGTTGGCCCCTGTCTAGAACCCCCAATGACCAGCCAAGCAGCTCTCTCTGTTTCTGCTTTAACATTTCTAACCTAAGATGCTCTCTGGCATTGGGGACTTTGTGAATATTCCTTATATAACCAGAGGAAATTCTAAGAAAAATCTACAGAAAAATGGAAATTCTCATATTTAACTTAAGATGACGTCACAGGAATCTGTTTTTATGGGATTCATGGTGAACACCCTGGTCTCCACCTTCAGACTGAGTCCAGGGAGGAGGTGTGAGGTAGGAGGGGGCTGTGAAGGACACAGTCCCACATGGTTTGTGTTCTCACCGTCACCCTGTTCTTTTCTGATCCACTTGTGTTTATTGTGAAATCAGAAAAGCAGAACATTGTGTTTCATGGGCAAACTGTCAAAACCTCCACCTCTAATATCTAATTAAAACCACCGAATGCTCTGATGAACTAAATCAATCTCTGATTCGCACACTTTGGCTGCTGAATCTAACGCTGTGACCTCATTGTCTGATTGATCATCTGAATAATTGCAGGCTGGATGAATAATTAAATAGATCATATGTCCCCCCCCACCCCCTCCTCAGCCAGCCAAACTGGGCTCTATCTGCGGATGCAGGTCAGGTGGTGATGGGGGGGGGGGATGACCAAAGTCACTTTCACCAACAAGTCCCATCACGCCATCGGAATCTCTTGCAGCTGCGCAGACCCTCCATCACAGGGGCGTCACTAGAGGGGTTTCCGGTGCGATCTGCGCCGATTTACTCCATTTATTTATTTCATTGCTCCACTTCGACATAAAAAAAAACACGCGATCTGATCTTCCTCTGCCTCTCCCAGCACCCATGCCGAAAGTAAGTGATCATATTTTTATTTAAGGGCAGGGGAGGGGGGGCTTGCTCAATCATCAGGGTTGATCTCTGTGTTTATAGATCGGAACAATGATTTAATTAACACTTTATCATCTGATGTGTTTATTTTATAACTGCTGCAGCTCACCCCTACTCGTTCTAAGCGTGTTTTAAAGAAGCGACCCTTTACTCTGTTTTTGTTTGACTTTCTATTGTCTGATTGCGCTCAGATGCTCCAATTATTGCTGTTCACACAGTTTATATAATTACAATCCAGAGAAACTCAGATTAGAGGGAGATTGTGTTTTGCAGAAAGTGCAACTGACCACCAGGAAGAAAAATATGCACCGAACTCAATGCAGCTTGCATGCAATTAAAAATGCACATATGCCGTGGATTTTACTGGGGAAGGAATAAAAAATGGTTGCTTTATTTATTTATTCATGAAGGCTTTTATTAGTCTGCTTTGCTGCAGATCTATCTAGAAATATGGCTCTAGTAATAATTTTCTGGTTGCAGTCCTGCAGGGATAGTAAGCCATATACAATTTGTCATTTAGGAACAGATCCCTGACGTCACGAACGCACCACTCTGCAGCTGTTCTTACGTCACACCGTCCGCGAGCATCAATGCATATGCAGTTGGCGTAAAGAGCGTCAGAGGCACGCTCAGAAAGGCGTAAGCTGTTTGTCCCGCAGAATGGCATCATGGCTTAAAATGAATCAGTGGGAGAATCTATGGAGGAACTGAGAGGAGATCATCTGATCAGTCCGAGTGGGAGAGATGGTTCATTTCCTCATATCTGGACTAGATTTGGAGTCACTTTTTCAATCTAACATGAATTTTGGTTTTGATTTTGCCTCTAAGAGTCTCTATCATGACTTTCTGAAGAGGCTCAATCACAGACAGCAGAGGCGCTTTATGATAATAATAATAATAATTATTATTATTACACTGAAAACAATTAATGCAACTGCTTTTGGCATTTGCTTAATCATATTTAGTTACTTTAACACGATTGTTTCATGTTAGCAGGGTAGGACATAAAACAATTGTCTTAAAGTAACTAAATATGATTAAGTAAATGCCAAAAGCAGTTGCATGATTTTTTTCATTGTAATATTATTAATGTTATTATTAATATTACTAGTAATTACTATTAATCTGCTAACCTGCAATTCAATTTAATCTATTTCTTTCTCACTCGGGTTTCATAATAGATAAATAGACACATATCGCTTTGAAAATGTAGCTTTTATTATAATAATCCCCTCTGGCAGGTGAAGAACAATGAAATTCAATTCTGAAAAAAAAATGCTGTACAACAATCATGTTTCACAAATAACTATAAAATCCAAACACAGTCGAGGTTTGCAGCTGGCGGTGTCACAGAGAGAGATTTATTTAGTTTATCAGTTAGTTCACATCTGAGAACAAAAAAGCTCTGGAAGCCTGGGGAGTGGATTGATGAAAACAATCTAGAATTTCCAAAAAAACAACAAACCTTTATAAACAAATAATCACCCATTACTACAATAAAGTATTATTAGTTGATATTATTACTTTAGGGTTGCTCAGTGTCGCAGTGGTTAGCACGGCTGCCTTGCAGCAAGAAGGTTCTGTGTTCAATTCCTGGCCCGGGGTCTTTCTGCATGGAGTTTACATGTTCTCCCTTGGCATGCATGGGTTCTTCCCGGGTACTCCGGCTTCCTCCCACAGTCCAAAAATATGACTGTTAGGTTAATTGACTTGTCTAAATTGTCCTTAGGTGTGAGTGTGGTTGTTTGTCCTGTCCCACTCAGGACAAGCGTGTCAGATAATGGATGGATTATTACTTTATTGAACCTTTAAATGATGTTGAAATACAAAGAGACATATATTTATTTCAGCCTCTGGCCACTAATGCATGCATATATTGAGCAGGAAGATAGAATAGCTTAGAAAAAATAAAATATTTTTCTGTCCTTGCAGCTAAAGCATGAACACGGTGAGTTTATCCACTGAACCTTTAAGGAGAACTGTTTCCTGGATCACCAGGATATATCCTTAATTTCAAGAGATTTTAAATAAAACATTGCTTATTTCCTCCTCTAAATAAATATATGAAAATTAAAGTTTGTTTATTTATGAACTGCTCCACGTGAGATCATGCTACTGCAGTGAAAAGATGTATTTCTTATAAATCTTTTTGCATCTTTATCACTGTTGCCAATGAAGCTGCCATTCTAACCGCCCCCTTCCTTATTACAATCAGCATAATTTGTGTAAAAGCTGTGATGACTCCAATACACACATTTCCATGCATATAAATAAGACATCCTGGTAGAAAACCTTTTATTTTGCCTCCAGAAAAGCTCTAATACGCTATAGCAAACGTTGGTGTAGACTGAGTGCAATAGATTGTTTTTGTCAGTGGTTTGTCTTGTGGTATCAAACAAACTGGTTTTGCTGTCATCAAAACATCACACTCTGTGTCAGCATCTCAAACTGATTGTGGTATAAACATTTTTGACACTTGCTCATTTCAAAAGTTCAGAATGAAGTGCACAGTGCTGTACAATGATACCACACACAAGATAAACACATAATAAACTCAATAGATTATTATGGTGGTGAATTGTTAAACTAAGACAGTTATTAGCCTGTTTTTCACATCAAGACATTGACTTTAATGTCAATTCTTCTGGTTAATACGGCATAAAATCAGCCAGATGACAATGATCATTTATGAACAGCTGTTTTTCTAGTGTTGCAGCGAATCCTCATGGACTTAGCTCTAGACTTTGACTAGGCCAATCTGAGATATAAGCACACTTTAAGCATGGTCATTGTTAGTTTTCTTCCAAAAGGTGGTGAAGAAAAAGGTAAATATTGATTTTCTTTGACCAGAGCAGATTCTTGGACACATTTCCTGTTTTACCACAACTGGCTTATGGCTAATTATTGTAACTGCGCTCTAAACTGGTCTAACATGTAAAAAGAAGACATAATACATTCACTATTTTTATAAAGAAGTGTAGGAATAGTAATGTAATTTTTTTATTTTATTTATTTTCTTATTTGTTGCATTTAAATTTGTTTTATTTAAAGATTCTCCGTCTCCATATGACATCTAAGTATAAAAGCCCCTTAATGTCCTCTTGTTCTCTCGTCTTTCTTTCTCCTCACAGTAAATCTTGTTGAAGGAGCTGAATCGGCAGAGCTGACCTCCAGTGTGGTGGACGTCTCAATCACAGACACAGCAGAGGACAGACAGTGGTGACAGTCCTCATCGTCTTCCTCACTCCCTGCATCCCTTCATCACACTTGACATGGCTGACCCAAGCCTCACGTCACCCTCCGGAACGCCGCTGCGCTCCCCCAGCACCCCCCTCAACCTCTCCTTCCCTTTCCCAAAGGATGGGAACAGGGTGTGGCCAGAAGGGAGGGAGCCCCCGCTTCCCCGGGACCTGCCCAGCCCGCTGCCGACCAAACGCAACCGCACCTACTCAGCGTACGTCTAAGCCGCTGCTTCAAAGCTGATATATGATCATATCCTCACTGTCTGCCTTATATATAGGGAACTCACTTCCTGTAGATTGCAGCCTTAATAAGAACTGTGCTGAAAGTCCTGAAGTTTAGATTTAGGCAAAGTTGCTTAAACTGTTTCTCCCTTTAGCTTCAAACAAACAGCATCAGGTTGCACATAAAAACATTACTGATTTAAATCCATTTTAAAGCTTTAATAGGTTTGCCTGTGAAGCATTTTTGCCACAAAACTAATTCACCTGTAGGATTGTTTATTATATAAACCCCTGAATGTTGATCCCTTTAAACCTACTGGGCTCTCATATGTTTTTATTATGTGGATCCAGCCCTGCCTGCTGTTGAGCAACTTTTTCTTCATAGTGAGACACAGTGTTCAAGTAACTTTCACTGCAGGTTAAAGGCCACTAGTTAAATTTTTTTTTCCTACACTGATCTTCTTGTTTTTTTTTTTTTTTTTTTCCTGTCAATCAATTCCTGCATGCCAGGCTAGTTTCCCTTAGAATTTTCCTGAAATTCTAAAAAACTACTGACAATAAGAAAAAGATTAGATTGTAGCTATAACATCCATAAAAATCCATAAAAAATTCCATGACATGAATACCTTTTATATATATATATAACCTCTATTTCTAAGCATTGCATGAATACTGAAGGTTTAACTTTTCATCATTAATTTAATGGTTCTCTCTGTTTTTTCATGTCTTCATTTTGTCTGCAGTACGGTCCGTGCTCAGTCTGGTCCAGTTTTTAAGGGCGTATGTAAGAACTTTTCCAGATCACAAGGCCACGGCTTCATCCAACCGTGTCACGGTGGAGAAGACATCTTTGTTCACATCTCAGAGTAAGTAGCAACAAATCTTAACACAGCAAACTAACAATCCTGCTTTGTTAATTAAACTGCAAATGGCACAATATACACAGCTGGGAGTAAATCAGCTCTTCACTGAGCTGATGTCTGTTTAGCTAAATGTGTGAATAATCTGCACATTCTTCTGCAGTATATTGTAATTTCATTAAAATGAGTCAAATCACTGCTGCAGCTGATTTACTTTAATGATATGTGTAAATTGCCATATCCTGTAAAATCTTTTGTGAAAAAAGTTTAGATTGTGCGCTTTAAGCAGCAAAATCAGGATCTTGGAATATCCGGCCTCAATGAATAATGATTGTCATGGTGATAAAAACTATAACCAGGATCAGGAGTTTTTCTCAACTTTGGGCACTAGAGGTCTAAAAGAAAAAGATCCTAAACCATGATTATGATGCTGTTATGTGCTAGAGAGACTTAACATCAGTAGCATGAATAAACAATTTCTAACTGTGTTTAATTCAGGGACCATCTCCAGGTCCAGGAGGCGTTCTGTTTAATTATTCAGACATATGGCTCAGAAATGCAGACCTCTGAGTTTAAACTGATTAAAACCATGATGCTGCATTCGATGGGCATTTCAAGCATTTGAAAAATTAGTCTGGATGGATTGTGATAATGAAATCCAGTTTCCTTTGATCTAAGCCTGCTTTGTGATATTTGGGAAATAGTTCACACATTAGTTTAGCTCCTTCTAGTGTGAAGGAGCAACAGCAGTAGGATTGGTTAACTGACAGTAATCAAAACCAATAACAATGTTTTCCTCTCCCTTCATGCCTTAAACTAAAGATAGTAAATAAATATATTTGAATTTGGTTGAATAAGATACTGAAAACCCTTAATTACTCCAGGGGCTACAGTACATATAAAAGAATTATCTGAGAAAAAAAAGTCAGATTTCTCATAATTCTGAGTTTAATGCAGATCAGCAGCTGGAAACAGCTGGAAACAACCAGCTTCAAAGACAGAAATATGTGCTGCGCAGGAGGACAACTAACATTATGGCGGAAATGTTGAATTAAGAGTACTGTTTAAGGGGCAAGTGGCCCCTGGATGCCCATTAAAGTCAGAAGTCTGTGGGAAAAAAATCTGAAATAAAGTTAGGATTCTGACTTACTTTATTAGGAGACTTCTTTTATAGTTCGCCTAATCCTCTTCCACATATAAAGGATTTTGATCAGAGTAATTTGGCTCCATCAAACCTTCAAGAAATTCAACTAGGAGCTCAAAAAAATCAAATTTAGCATCACTGTGGGAAACACTTGCTCTGGGAATGGAAACAGGAATATAGATTTCTCCAGTTTCAGAAACACAAGCAAGAGCAACTGCTCCTCTCTGTTCTATGGATTTAAGCAGGAAAGGAACAGACCCATATGAAGAGACTGTACTTTACTACTCGGTTATAGAGATATAAAAACTGAATTATAGGTGAAAATCACCTGTTATTCTTGCAGCATTTGCATGTTTTATAGGAATAAGTGTTGGACTGTATCTGAACTCCTGATTGGCTTTGAATTTCCAGGAATTTTGGACCTCAGGAACCAATCTGTTTGCTTTGGCTAGATGGATCTAAACAATTCAAAACTTCCTGTATGAATTGAATGCACCATGCATACACCTTAATAAAAAAAAATAAAATAAAAAAAACATCCCTCCATCTGAATTTGAATGTGAGAGTTTCAAATGTTGTATGATTTGTTTTTTCACTCTGAAGGTACTTCTTAACGGAAAACAAAATCTCCTCTGCTTCTTTTTGTCTGTGTTCCAGTATTGAAGGGGAGTACGTCCCTGTTGAGGGAGACGAGGTCACATACAAGGTGTGCCGAGTGCCTCCTAAGAACATTAAGGTGCAGGCCGTGGAGGTGAAGATCATACACCTCAACCCGGGGACCAAACATGAGACCTGGTCCGGACAGATCATCAGCTCGTAGGGACTGAGATCTGCTCCGGGTCGGATGGGTGGCGATGGCAGCGGTGCTCCTGGACTCTTTGCTTTGTTTAAAAAAAATTAGACATACATGTTCCTCTTTATTTCATGAAGAGCTGGCAGGTACTTAACGTCACAGTTACAGATAGCTGCTCCCGCAGTGGCACTGAATTATACTAAAGAAAGGCAGTTTTATTGTGTTATTTATGTCTGTTATTACTGAATTTAAACTGGGACCAGAAACGCATCAGAGCTTGAAGTGGGAGAAGCTTTCTGTGTCGGTTTCACCACAGATGGTGTAAAAAAAAAAAGCAAAAAGGAAAGAAGAAGAGTAAATCTGATGCGGTGCAGACTGCTGTGTGTTTTTATGCAAGAGGAAACAACGTGTTGTCAGTTTTACTTCCCCTCTTAGCAGCTGATTCCCTGTCATCTTCTCCATCGAGGTGACATGTTTCTTTCAAATGTTCATCACAGGAACTTATCTTAGTCTGAGCATGGAAAGGCTAATATTAAACTAAGACAACAGCAGAGTCAAAACAAGGTGATGAATATATAAGTCTTCAATAATCAGAGGTTTTAGCCCTGGAAAAAAAGGAAGATTTAACATCTCCTTATATGATGGGGTGGTTCAAGTAAGCTTAAAGGTTTTAGATTGTTAAAAAGATGAGCTAACAGATTCAGGGAGTTTTGTTGTGTACTTTAAAGAGAAATTGTCACAGTTTAATTTAAAAATATTTGGAATTGTGAGATTTTTCTCCCTCTACTTCCCAGCTTTAGAGATTAGCCACTGACTTCCTTTTAAAAGGTATAGAACATTTATAAAACAGTAGGGCTTTGTTTTATATATTTGTATTTGGACTTTGGTTCAAGATAATTAACAAAAAAAAAATGTTGCAAAAATATTAGTTATATTATTGGGAAAAGGTAAGACTTAATGAAAACAAATTGTACACCAATTCAGCTAAGATAAAAACAGTTTGAATATTTAAGTTTTCAAACCAGAGATTTTCACAGTAAAAATGTCTAAATAGTCCTTTATCATTTATTGAGGAATAGGAATCTGTAAATCAGATACATGTTTTATTACAGTTCCCAACAGAGGGAACAACATTCAACATTATCTGAAAACCAAAAATGCAGCAAAAAAAACCCTAAAACTTTTTTTTTCTAAATGCCCTGGCCGCCTCCTAACAGAGTGGCACCATGGGTGGTAAGCCATATTTCCCATAGAAAAACTGAGACCAGCTCAAATAATCAGGAACTTCACACATTTTCCCTGAAATGATTTCACGCCATTGTTCTGTCTTAGTGATTTCTGTTCGATTTTGTGAGTCTAAACTTGTATTTGTCCTCAGATTACACTCTTTATATATTCCTTATGAAAACTACATGACCTGCCACATCACATCAGGCAACACAGCTGGGTTTTCCCCTAGAAATCAATAAAAAGTATGTGTTAAAGACTATTTTAGGAAATGTAGAAGTTGAAATCATATATCATGTGTTTGGGGAAACTCTACTCATTCCAGTTATTCAGATTAAATGTGATACTGCACTTCTTTTTCTTTTATGCCAGATATTTTCCATAAAAACATGTTGATGCCTGAAATTATGCTTTTATCACTTCAACTAAGCCTTGAAAGAACATTAAAGCCTAATTTTATGACCAAAATGTGCTTAATTGTTGTCTGTAATTCACGTGGTCCGCTTTAGCTATTAGTGTATGTAAATATTTGAATCCAATACCAGCCTATGGTGGGAATATTTTGTGGATATTAATTATCCCAGATGAGGATAATATTGTTTTAACATTTATAAGCTGTTAAAGCCTCTTTAGTGGGTGGAAACAACAGATGAAGAAAGCCTTTGGTTGTTGGGGGGGCGGTGACAAAACAGCAAATAGACAAGCAAGGTAAACAAGACTGTTTACTTGATTCAGTCACTGCAAATATGATACAACTCAAAACAGGAGCAGTAGAGCAACAGGAAAACCTGAAGCTAAAATCAAACCTTTTATAAATGTAAACTTGGGGAAAACGAGGACACCTAGTGGTTGGATGCAGAATGACAAGGTTGGTTGGGTCACTTAAAGTAAACAGAAGAGAGAAAGCCTAAAAGCCCAACAGGGTTAAAATAAACACCAACAGACGCAAGGATGAAATAAAAAGAGGATTTAATACATTAGGTCTGCCATTTTTTTTTTCCACAACTGGAATTACAAACCAAGAAGAAGTATCTTACAGTGACCTCCATAGATGCGTTACAAGAACTGTCAGTTTTCCATTTAAGTTGACTGTAGCCCCTCAGCCTGAAGGAGTGTGTATGGTCAGATTATATGTTCCCTCACAAAAAACAAGAATAATCTTATGCTTAATTCAGCTAAAATCACTTAAAACAGTGGAAAAACACAGCTGCACTTCATAAAATGCTCTCAAGCTCAGAAATTTGGTTTCTTAGAATTTGGAAACTTTGTATAACTGACATTTACTTTGTGCAAAATTTGATACTTTATCAATCAAATACTAACATGGAGGTGATAATTGATACATTTTTTTTTTCTTAAAAGTCGATATATTGACACTAGAACTCAGTTCACTTATCGAGATGGATTCCTTCACTCAGACATTATTATTAAACATAGACATATTATTTAAACATCTAAAACTGTGCAAAATTTCAAAAAAAAAAAAAAAAAGTTTAATTTGTTAATATGGTCTTAAGCCAGATTTGATTTTGTCTTCCAATCTATTTCAGTTGTTTAATTGTATTCAAAATGCCATATATTGTACAAAAATTATATTATCTGCATCATGCTGGGCTTCTTTGGGAATTCTTAACCAACAAATGTCTTAATTAATGAACAAGACAAAAGAGTTCTACAAAGTTCAGTCCAAAAAATTAAAAAAATGCAAGACATTGACGTAAGGAGTGGCCTATGACCTTTTGGACGGTATGCTAGTTAAAAAGGTAAAAGTTCAGATCTTTTGAAGCTGGGGTTCTGTTACAGGCTTAAAGCAGAAAAATCTTACCTGTTATATATTACTCTTAAAATAAAAAAAAAAAATGTAAATTCCAGCTAAAGCTCCATTAAACACAGACAAACTTCAGCATTAAATGGTTATCTAAGTTAAACTTCCACCCTGACCGTGTTAGCCTGTGTAATAGAATAACCTCTTATTCTCAAAAATCTGGGTCATGGTGCTTCATTATAGAAGATAAATATTGCATTTCAAGATCAGGTAAGATATAAACCCTTCAAACCACCCAACAGAACTCTTAAAAAAACCAAACCTTCCCTTTAAATCTCCTAAATGTTCCCTTAGATTAATTCAAAGACCCTCAGCAAACACACAAAAAAAGAGGTTCCAATCATTTTCAGGGCTTTTAAGAGGTTAATGTAAATTTCAGACAACAGATGGTTCAAAAGTTAACCTAAAAAAAAAAGATGCGGTTTGAAAATTAAATGTAAATGGAATGTAAATGTCCCTTTGGAGTATTTCAAACTTTCAAAGTGGAGATGTCCCTTTTTCCACAAGCTCATCACATGATAAAATCTGTCTTCCATCCTTGTTCCTTATTGCACTGACAGAATTTCCAGGAAAACAAGGAACTCCACTTTAGTGCAAAATGTCGCTTCATGCCCAAAGCAAGCTGGAAAAAAACATTCCTGTTGATTTGGGGTTAATTTCAAGGTTTACACGCTTCTTATCACAGTAGTCAAACATCGCTTCTGGTAAAGTGGTTAACAGCGCAATAATATACACTTCCAAGTCGGCTGTCCATCTCATTAAATAAAATCAATCCTTCAGCAGTTCATTCAGACATGAAACAGGGGGAGATCAGTAGTGATACAGTTCAACAGTTCATTAAAAGCCTGCGGTCAATCTTCATGTTTCCCTCCAGTTCAGACGCGTTTTTGGTTGAAGGTATCGTGATGAGACGTGGGGAGGCTTCAAAGAACAGTTCTCGGCAGAGCCGGGCTGTGTGTTCGGGAGAGTACACCGTGAAACCAATCGTCCTTGGGTCGTTGAAGATTTCATAGTCGTTTCCTCCCTGGAAACAGAAGCACAGATCATAAACGTCTGAGCAGAGCTGATAGCCATGGCCTCATGTGGTTCCTTTTCCTTCTCGTGATAAAAATCAACCCTAACATCGGACATTCAAGAACAGATGATGCTTTTATTCTCTGAGTCAGAATGTCCATCCTCTCATAATACCACTTTAAAGACAAACAGAAGTTTTCTGTTTTGAACACGTATTCATTTTTCTTGCACTTTTCATCCGGTCACATTTAAACCATAAACTTCATTTTATATCATCTTGATTGTGTGTGACTCATCTAGATAAAGCAACAAAAAAGAATACACTGCAAAAACAATATAGAAATAAGTAAAAATGTCTTAAATCAAGTGTATTTACTATTAATTTGAGTAGGAAAATAAGATGATTTGCCAATGGAATGAGCTTTTTTTACTCTTAAAATAAGATAATTAGATAATGTGCGCTTGAAATAAGACAATGCAATTGTTTTTTTCTTATTTTAAATATAAATTGTCTTGTTCCATTGGCAAATTCTCTCACTTTCCTCCTCAATTCAAGAAAAAACGCAATTATTTTAACAAAAAATGGCTTATCTAGATTTAAATTTTTTTGCAGTGTAAAAATAAGCTGTCACCTTAGTTTTGCATGGGGCAACACAATATGTACTAGGTTTTTATCAGTAAAACATCTAGAACGTCTTGTATCATTTTCCTTCAGCTTTTCTATGCAAAAGCCCAGTGGTTAAAATGTAACAAATACTTCAGTCTTTTTTATCATTTACTCAAATATTAACAGCAGATTTTGCAACTCAGGATTTTTCAGTGCAGCCATCCAAGTTAAGGCTTGAAACCCCTCAGGAGACACAATCGCCCAAATACCGCTACATTCTTTCAGTGGTATGAAATGAATGTGGCTTCAGCCCTACAGCTGCCTCTATAGTTTACTCAACTCCTAGGGCTGTCACAGACCAGGCACTCAGAGGTAGAGACAAAAGCCAGAGACATGGATGCATGTAACATAATTCAAATAGTGGAGGACAGTTTTCTCACTCTAAGCAGTGGTTTTATATTCAATCTATCTGCTATTGATAATGACTGCACGATTAAACTGCAAATAATGTATTTGTAAGAGCAAATGTTACCACAAGTAACAAAACTGAAGTTCACACAAATGTTAACTTCAGTTTTATATTTTACTTGTTGGCAGTTTCTAAATGCCTGAATGTGTTCATTTGGTTACTGTTGCACTTCATTGATCCCTTGTCTTCAAATTGTGTCTTTTTCAGACTTAGTCTCCACCTACTCTCATTTCTTTCATGTTAGGAGCTCTTTAGACAATCAGGTTTGTTGGAAACCCGATAGTCTCTATTATTACTCTGTTTTATATTATATTAGTTTTAGACCGGGGCCAACAGGGGAATTATGGAACTGGTTGTGGGCCCTGTACCAACGACATAATGATTAAAAAAATAAGATATCCGCTGTAACAGGAAATTTAACCAATAGGTAACTTGAAGCAATACTTACATTTACAGTTTAATTTTATTCATGATTTAAAAATTCAGTTAGCTTAATATATCAAACAATAAAAGTTTACCCTGTCTTATTTGTTTTTGGTTCATTCATTTGTTCACTGGGCCCATCTTGGCCCCCTTGGTAGATTTGGTCTAGAACCCCCATTGTGTCATCCAATCACTACTCAAGTTATTCAATTAATTCATAGGGTTACTTTTAGACATTACCATTAATGGTAATTAATTAATCATACATTAAAAATGAATTAGTTATACATTAAAACATGCATTCCATCGACTGCACGGTGGACCTGTGGGTAGCACTTGGCCTTGCAGTTAGAAGATTCTGGGTTCGGTTACTGGCCTTTCTTTCTGCATGGAGTTTGCATGTTCTCTCTTAGCATGTGTGGGTTCTCTCTGGGTACTCCAGTTTTCTCCCACAGTCCAAAAACATGACTATTAGGGTAATTGAGTGTACATAGAAACATTGTGTGTCTCTGTGTTGCCCTGCGACAGACTGGCGACCTTTCCAGGGTGTACCCCGCTATAGACTGCCAGAGATAGGCACCGGCCCCACTGCGACCCTGATGGAATAAGCGGGAGAAAATGGATGGATGGATGTGCATTCCATCCTTTTTTGTGAGTTTCTTTTCTCCATTCCTTCATCACTAAAGTAATATATCCAGCACCAGTTGAAGAAGAAATAGTAATCTTATAGCTAACTCTTATTTGACATCTGTTTAATGGTAATTGACCAGAGATATGTTTAAGGTTGAGGCTATCCTCTGGAAAGATTGAATTTGCCATCTGTCAAAATACTAAAGTGGTAAAAGAGGAGGTGATACTAATCCTTCTTTATTGATTACAACAAGCTAGGGAATGAAGGTTTCGATCACAGGTGAATCACATAAGTCTGTTTTTATTTTGGATCATAAAGATAAGCGACAACAGATTACTCCTTACTGTAACCTCTGAGGAATGAAACAAACACCTCATGAGACACGATCTGCTGATGCAAAACAAACTTACATCTGAGGTCTCATTGCCAAAGAAGTAGATGGCGTCCAGGCCTTCGTTCTCCAGCAGATTTAAGCACAGCCGCTTGTCCCAGCCCTCAGGGAAAACATCAAAGCTGATAAGTCCACCTGAAAGGAGACAAATATAATCACAGCTTTTAAAAGGAAGCCAGTTCTATTACATCATGATGTCATCGGCTCCAGGACAGCTCGCACCCTCGTTTCATTTTTAAAAACTTGTTCCTACATGTATTTTGGCCTATGTGTTAAAATTGCTACATATTTATTTAAGTAGGTTTTTTTAAGATCAAAAACCTCCCAGGTAATTTAAATGGATCATAAATAATTCCTGAATCAATTCATTATTCAGCGTCTTTGCATTGTTGTGGTTTCACTCTCGGCTTAGTCTATTTGACTGAGGATGTTGGACAGATAAGGACATTCTGATCAAACCAAAGTGACTCTATGTGACTTGCTGTAGGTAAATATAGTTACAGACTCATATAACCAAGCTTTGCATAGATTGTTAAAAATAACTCTGAATCAACAGGTCTGTGACAAGTTAAAGTTTCTTCAAGGTGGATATGAATTTCCATAAAATGTCTAACGGCAGATGGTTGCTTTTCACACAAGAAATATTCAGAACTGAAAAGTAAGGGGAAACTGATCTGGCAAACTCAGATCAGGATATAGAAGTATAAGTTTGTATAAACAACAGCTTATGTACATAAATGGATAAAATTTTTGGTGATCCTCATTTAATGAAAGAACAACCTGCAATGATTTCAGAAATAACTTCAATCTGACAAAAGTATTAATAAATAGGAATTGTATGGAAAAAAAACAAATAGATGTTGCTTTTCAACCAGGCTTTAAATAAATGATAAAAAAAAAAATAAAATCATGAAATAGGCCTGGACAAAAGGCTCTGGGTTCGATTCCTGGCCCAGGGTCTTTCTGCATGTAGTTTGCATGTTCTCTCTGAGCATGCGTGGGTTCTCTCTGGGTACTCCGGCTTCCTCCCACAGTCCAAAAACATGAATGTTAGGTTAATTGGCTTCTCTAAATTGTCCTTAGGTGTGAGTGTTTGCCTGAATGGTTGTTTTTCCTGTTTGTCTCTGTGTTGCCCTGTGATGGACTGGTGACCTGTCCAGGGTGCACCCTGCCTCTCGCCCATTGACTGCTGGAGATAGGCACCAGCACCCCTCGTGGCCCCACTTGGGATTAAGCGTGTAAAGAAAATGGATAGATGGATGGATATATATATATATATATATATATATATATACGTGTCTGTGTATGTCACTGTGACTACATGTGTGTATATGCTTAAACAAGTGTATATTTATAATAAAAAAAGTATTCTGTTCCTATGTTTTAAGCAGTGGTGTCAAAAGTACACACATTTGTTACTTAATTAGAAGTAAAGATATTGCAGATTAAAAACACTCTGGTAAAAGTTGAAGTATCAACTTGACCTCTTTACTCAAGTAAAAGTTAAAAAGTATGATAAAAGTATAAAATAACCTTTTAAAAAAACAGCCAGATGCCACTATATGAATTGGAAGCTCAATTTTTCGACTATTTTGAAAAACTATTAACTATAAATATTTATAAACATTAAACCGAAGCGAAGAGTAACGAGTAACATTAGTAGAAGTAGATGTCAGAAGTAGGAAGAAAAATAAGTAATGGAGTAAAGTATAGATGCCTAAAAAGTGGACTTAAGTAAAGTAATAAAGTATTTGTACTTCATTACTTGACACCTCTGGTTTTAAGTAGGTGCTTCTACTTTAACTTTAAAAAATATAAAAAAATTAAATTTAACTATTTTTATTGTTTCTCATTCAGTGTGGTTTGAAGAAACCGAATCTAACAAATATCCTTGAGTTAATGAACAAAATAAATGTAAATGCATATCCCTTTTATTCAGCAGAAATAAGAAAATAAAACCTGAACTTTTAACCGGCAACAGCATGAGAACATGTTGCCAGAGAGAAAATTGTAATGTGAAGTATGAAAAAAATAGCAAATTTAAGCCTGGGTAGTTTTTTTTTTTTTTTTTTTTTCTTTGACCTAAGACTACTTATTATCATAAATCATGCATAGTTTTAAGATTCCTCAGATCCTGAAACAATCTCTCTCCTGAGCTTTAACTCAGATGAACCTTTGTTCTGTGAAATATGAACGAAATGAAACAGCAATCTACCCACAGGCTTTAGCAGGCATTTTTCTCTCCAGCTGAAATGACTTTCTCCATCTTGCCTCAAAGAACCGGCCAATCAGGAGGCTCAGTCCTCACACACCCTCCTCATGCCTCTTTCACAAACACCTTCAGATCGAAAAGATAAACAACTCAGCACTTCTTTAACCCTTAAACCTGCTTTGTTTTTACCCATAAAGACTCCAAACTATGGTTGCACCTTATAGTCTAAACTTTTCTACAACAGCATCATTTAACACCGGATGCTTGGACAGGAGAATTAGATCCCTAAACCCACTGATTAGTTCTTACATCGTGTCCTCTCAATGCAGCGTCAGATTACATAACACCTATTACACAGAACACTCCTATCAGCTGACGAGGGCAGCCGTGCCTTCCAAAGATAAACTTTAAGAGAAGGTAAACATATAAACGCTCTCTTCCCAGCAAACCCGCTTTCACCGCGTTAGAGTCAACACTGTAAAGACTCAGGCTGCAGCAAAAGGCCGAAACACTACCTGCTGATTTACACCCCTGTGTGAAGCCCAAGTGAGCATGAAATCCACACATTTTATGGGGAGGCTTTCGAGGAAATGAACTGGGCTTGACTTGTTTGTGAGAAGTGTGAAAAGCCCTGCGCACGTCATCAGCAGAGCGGTGCGGCACGTAAGCAAACATCAAGTACCTCCTGCTGCCGTGCCGTCAAAGAGGCACGAAAGAACAGTGTGTCTAATAGTTAACCTGCAGGTCCAGCACAAAGGTCTAGTACGAACCAAAGGTGGTGGTGTTGCTGGTGGTGGGGTCTCTGGTTTTATCAAGAGATAAGAATCAACAAGCGGATAGAAAAGCTGTAAAACTGGATGGGCACAGTGCTGTAAAATGCTAATGAGCTTGTTTTTCTCCCTCAGAGTGTCCACCTAAACAAACAAGATGTTCTAACTGCTTCTGTTTTTCTTATGTCCTCCATTATTGCATGGAAGCAGACTCGGATGTGAAGCAAAGTGTGAACAGGCCTCTCTACGTTGTCTTCTCTCACCTTTAGTGAAACGCAGCCCCTTCCCAGCAAACTCCTTTTTCAGGGCAGCAACAAATTTCTCCCGGATCTTCTCTCTCTGTGAGAAACAAGAGGCAAAGCTGTTAGCTGGATTTATGCAATCTGAGCCAAACAACAACAACAGCTTGCTTGAAAAAATGACCTATTTAAAGATGATCATAATCTATGTAGGGGACAGATAAAAGATGTGTAAAATGGTGCTCTGGTTAAAAAAATATAATAAAACTTTGTTAAACATCTAAGATAGTTCAAATTAACCAATGGATACACTATCTCTTATGTAAAACATGGTGATGGCAGCATCATGCTGTGCTGATGCATTTCTCCACAAAGCAGCGCACAATTTATTAATTATTTTATAAGCCGCTGTTTCTGCCGGGGACATTTGAGCGTTTGAAAAAAATACTTCATTGTTTTTTTTTTTCATCTACTTAAGCATATTTAGTTACTTTAACACATTAGTTTCATGTCCTACCAAGTTAACATGAAACAATTGTGTAACAGTAACTAAATATGCTTCAATAGATGACAAAGATTCATGGAGTATTTTACAACCTGAAAGAGAAAATCTGGAGGCTCCAAACAAGAATAATCATGTTTAATCACTAAAGTATTCAGCAGTTTTTAAGTGTTTGAGAGTCAAATACGTTTGATTCAGTTTAATTTAGAATACTAGAATGATTTCAAGCTTACTTTTATTGGATTTTATAGAGAATGTAATCTATTTTAACTGTTTTGTAACCGGTTTATTTTTTTTTTGCTTAGTAAAGGTTTAACTTTTTGTGGAGACATTAATCAGCTACGTTCTCTGACAATGATTTTCACAAGTGTTCCTGAGTCCTTGTTTCTGTTTTTATTAGAGCACCACCAGAGGGACTCGGCCTCTCCAGGAGGCTCTTTATAGACAATCATTCTACTGGCCCTTTGCTAGTTAACCTGATTAGTCATAACGTGTTCCTCTCTCTGTAAATAGAAGAAGATTCATGTATATAAATGTGATCACGTAGCTGAACATTAAACTCCTCCTCTGCAGAGCTTCACTTCCTTAATTTTACCATGTCAAACATTATCTGTTAGACTGTTTTTTCCAGATCAATGTTTGAGCTTTCTTTGTCTGTTTAACGTGATCACGTTTTGGAAAGACCAGAGACAGAGAGGCCTTTTCGCCCCCCTCAGTAAAAATGTTTGCTCAGCCACGACGAGTAGCGACATGCAGCAGCAGGCTTTGTTCGTCCTTATCTGCCTTCAGATTAAATCACTCTGGAAGAAGAGTTTTTTTTGTAACTTTGTGGTAATGACGATCTCAGGTACAAAGGTCAAAGTACAAATAGGTCTATTTTAAATTAAAATGATCCACCTTGTCGATTTCAGAAAACTCTATTCTCTCCTCCGGCGTGCAGCTGCGACCGATTGGTGAAATGTTAATCATTCCATTCCTGAACTCGATAAAAGTCCCCCTGCAGGATGAAAAATGTGATTAAATGATATCCTGAAACCTGCATTTTCTCTCATAATGTGAAGAACTTTTATTTTGATCTTGATCAGTCATCTGTTATAAACCAATTATTACACAGAGAAAGCAGGTTAAAGTTATTGCAAATGTTTGTATGAATTATCCTGGTGACGCACCTTTTCTTTGGCAGTTTAATGAGCCCCATGTATCGGAGGCAAAAGTTAATCAGATCCTGCAGCAGCTCCTCTCCAAGATGGTTCTGGATCGCCTGCCGGAGCAAAATGCACTTAAGAACCAATCTGATTTTATAAATGAGATTATAAAGAATGATATAAACGTCATCTTTCTGCCTAGAGAGTAAATATGTTTTCAATAAAAGTTAATTAATATCAGAAAATGTTTGCTTTAGTTTCAGCTTTTAGAGGGTTAGCATTTGTTAAGGTCACACTAACCAAGCACAGCAGGTATGCATTAACTTACATGCTTTGAGAGGAGTTGACCATCTTTGTATTGAACTGTTCCATTCTCAGCAAACACATAATCAAACTTGTGAATCACTGAAAGAGAAAAAAACACCCACATCTCCATAACTTGATTCAAACAAACATTTTTTACTGAGAATCAAAAGAATGGGGAAATGAAATAGTGGCCTCCATTGTTGTTATACTGGTTGCAGATTATGCTGCATGTAAAACTGGCAGGCAGAGAGTAGATTTAATTAATTTGATCTTTCTTCTCACTTTAATCTCATCTATCAACGGTTTAGTTCAACTGAAAACCTGACTCAATCTGTTCAACTTACAAAAACAATCAAAGACTGGGTAAAAAGTGCTGGTTAAATATAAAGCAAGACGTGTATTTATATAGGCTTCAAGCAGAGAGGTAAAAAATAAATACATTTATGTTTATGGAATTTTTTTTCATTTGAAGTCACAAGGAAGGGGCAGCTTAGATAAACTGCAATAGCATAAAACTGATATCTGGACTATTGTTGTCAGTGCAGTAACCAGGATTTTTGAAACACCGAGGTCAAATATTGCAATAAATCTTAAAACATCCTAATATTGTGACTTTCTAAAATATATTTTGGAAATGTGAATAAAGAGAGTTTAATCACAAGCCCATCAAGGCGGTGAATATTAACATGTTTATTATAACAATTCCAAAACTCACAAAATTAGAGTATTTGAGTGAGTAAGTGAGTGGGTATGAGTGAATGTTAGTATTATTATTATCATTATTGTTATTATTGTTGTTATTAGTATTGAATTATTATTACTACAGTTATTATTGTCACCATCATTACCATGCATGTGCATGGCCCACTCAATGATTTAAATGACTTTCAATAATATATTGACTTTATTTTTTTTTTTAAACAAATGAAAATAAATGCTGATCTTTACACCAATCAAAGTCAGAACAATTTTCAACATATAGTTTGACAAAAAAAAAAAAAAAGGAAAATACCAGGGACATGACCTCAGCATTCTCAATACTGGTTACGGGGCTGATTCTAGTGATGTATGAAGGAGTCTTTCATTAGAAAGTTGAGATAAAATTACAGACACCGGTCTTTAGCAGGAAGGTAGGTTCATTTTTCTCTCTTTGTCCTTCCTTGTTTGCTACAGCTTTTTAAGGCTTTGGACCAATGTTGCCACCGAGGAAACTGGATGCCCAGGTACAGCCTGACCTACTTTAGCAGAAAAAACCCAAACCCTGTTATTGTTTGCATTACAATCACATGGTTCTGGCTGTTAAACTGGTTTGGCTGCATTCTAAAAGTTAAATTGACAACATGTGCACACAGAAATAAAAAATTACAGGTGTGCCATAATGTGAGGAAGATGGACTCTTGCATCGACGGCGTTAGCTTTAAGAAATTCCAACGCGGATCTAAATACATCACCCAGGTTTCTCTTTGGTTCAACTCACAATGATAACATCGGCCGCAGCTGAGACACCAGAAAAAGCCTGACCTTTAACACACTTGGACGTGAAACCGCATGGTGGTATGACTTGGCACAACGCATCTACATTGCAGCTGTGGGCTAATATTTACTGATAGACAAGCTATCGGCCTTTCAGAGCAGCTATGTGTTCTCTGAGAGGTGGTGGATGTATCAGCGTGACGCTCAGTGTGTTTTGGCAACAGCTTTAGGAGTCACATGACGGGTAAGAAATTCCGACTGAAGCATGTGGGATCAGATGGACGGTTGGATTTAGGATAAAAGCTGCTTGAAAGGTCACTCTAAAATATACAGTGAAAAATATGAGACTCTTTCTGTAGAAATGGGGCTGAAGGGGTCTTGTATGTCATAATGGAAGCTGCTCAATGCGGTTCTGCAGAGGATAGTGATGGGAGCTGAAAAGATGCACAGCAACACCAGAAGCACCAAAACCTAGCTGCTTTACAGCCTTCATGCCTGGCGCTATAACAAAGACAAACTGAGATAGATTAGGCTCCTTATCTGCTTTGTGTTTTAGGGACTTACATAATTTTCCACATTGATCAGCTTTTTATGTTGTCTTGTATGAAGAGATGAAAAGTTAATCAGTCTTAATTGGTTAGTATCACCATCTGAATTCAAGGTAATTGAAACTGCTTCGGATAACTGAAGAAATAATCAAATAAAAAAAAAAAAGAATGAAACTACAGTGGGTGATTCTCCAACTACAGTCAAATTTGGTCAAGATATTTTTCAGAAAATATTTTGATTTGTTTCACTTAATCAAAATATGTGTGGAAACATTAACTGGCAGTGTATGTAATAAAATTTCATGAAAATTATATTATACAATGATGGAAATGACTGTTGTTGAAATAAAGTATTAAGCATTTATTTTAAAATCTCATGACAAATTGTAATCTCTATTTTAGAGAAATAAAATATACTGAAAATACACATTATAACATGTTTTTTTCAGTCATAATTTGTATATTTAAAAGAAAACATGAAGTGTTTAAAAATAACGACCAATAAACTTCAGGGTTATGAAAAACTTGACCTTTTTTCCCCTCCTTCCATGGAGCAATGCTGTTATAAACTCTCCTGTCATGTGAAAAATGAAGTGATTGCAAGTAGACAAAGGTTAAAAAATAAATAAAAGTTACAGTTTGTGGTTGAAATGACATGGTCCCCAGGGACAGGTGTTCTTTCTCATGAAAAATTGATAAATACTACTATATCTTTAAAAGTTATGATACTTTTCATTAAAATTAGGAATTTCTGTTTTGTTTTGTCAATAAAGTTACTGTTCAATCAAATGGAATTCAGTCTTATGAGGAGCTGAGATTCCAAAACACTGACCAAGGGATAAAGGACGTATAGCAATATAAAACCATATTTTATATAATATAAATAGTAACGTATCCCTCATATTTGTTGTGCAGTATGAATAAAAACAATGATTGTTTTTGTTTTTCTTACTTTTGCCTGGGAGATACAAATACTTTCATAAGAATCATCCATATATGTTGTTTTCCATATTTCAAATTCTGTTACACATTATTTCTATCCCTAAAGGTTCTCAGTTTCTTCATTTTTGCCCAAAGTTGCACCACGTGTCTTAGGTAGGCTAAACTCTGTGAAGCATTGAAAAATACGTGCAAAACAGGAAGTCTTTCTCACCATCGTCTCCCTCTCCCAGCTGCTCTGCTATCTTGGGGTAGTCTGACCCTCCAACGATGCCGATCTTCACTTTCCTCCTTAAAGTCTGGAAGAACTCATCCAGCTTTGGGTCGATTTTCTGCAGGATGATAAACTCTGAGTTATTTTGCATTCCAACACCTGTTATCTGATAGTAGATGTTCCTTTTCGCAGAGGAAGACACGCCTCAGGGCGCACAGTGCTGAAAAATAAGCAGCATCCCAGCCTCTAAAGTGTAATTACACAGTGATAACATGACTGTAAAGACTTTTAGGGTGTATTTGTTTAGCTGTGAACTGTGCTGACACGAATTACCCTAGACAACCTATTTCAAATGCATATAATCTCTGCAGAAGCAATATTTGCAATTTTAAAAAGACATAAAATAAAAATGAAAAAAAAAAACACCCATAAGAGATGCATGAAGTGTGCAAGCAGTTTGAGTCGCTTGTTTCTGGCTCATGCGCAAAGAGCATAAGGCGCCCTGCAGACTGTGATGCCATGAGGACACAGTGTGCTCTAGAGTGGGAGGCAGAGGATGCAGGCAGAGAGGCTGCAGAAGAAAAGCTTCTAATGATAAATAAACACCAACAATTGGCTGCTGGTTGGATGGGAGCTTACTTCTCTGGGTGCTGTCAGTGTTCCGTCCACGTCAAACAGACACAGGATGTTTCGATCTGAAGAAAAGCCGTTTGATTTCTCCATTTCTCCCCAGCTGCTTTCTTTCTTTCTTCTTCACACTTTTGTTAGAAGTGACAATTCAGTCTTCTACTGCACGTTAAAAATGAAATCAGGAAATAACAACAACTACATCCTGGGTTTCATAAGTCAGCAGAAATATAAACAAAACCAAATGAATAAATAAATAAACTTCAAAGTTTAAAATAGCTTTTTCTCCTGTCTGGGAGCCGATTCTAGGTCCAGTTGTTCTGGTTCGGTTCTGTTTGGATCACTGTGACTGAGCTCCTCACTTGTGCGCGTCTGTTTCCTCTGCTGCTCTGTACTACAGAGGAGCCCATTCAAAGGGAGCGGAGAGTGACGTAGAGAGGGGGCGGAGCTACAAGCTGTTGACCTTTTACCTGCAAGGATGAGTTCAAACAGTGAAGCAGTAAACAAGGAGGAACGATGTGACAGTACAAACATTATATGATATCATATCTACACCCTTACGTATATTTATACATGTTCACACCGAGTAGAATAAGAATTGAACCCTCTTTTTACATACTAAACATATTTCTACTTCTGAAATTATCACCAGGTGTTGGTAACAAACTAAGTAGACCAAAAATAATAATCTAAGAAGCTAAATTATATACAATAAAATGACATTTGGAAAAAAAATTCAACAGCCTTACTGATATTTATAAATACTTACAAAAGCTGTTGTTGGTTATTCCAGCTTCAAGGCACCTACTGTATGAAGAAACTAGACATGCACAAACAGTCTTTAAATCTTCTATGAACTCTGAGTTTTAATTCTTTTACACACAGCCCTGTGTTCAAACACCCTGATTGGAAAGTTCAGTGAAAGGAAAAAAAGTGGTATGGAAAACAGGTGCACAAGCAAAATGTGAGAGCAGTAGGAGGATTGGCTATGATTCAGTTTGAGAGGCTGGCTCCAGCATTAAGAGGATTTGCTGAGATTCCCAAAGCCTGGATTGCAGCTGGATAAAGGAACCTCAAGGGCCACATGCACTCAGTCATATTCAAGACACAGGATCCAACCATTACCATGTTTGTGTTGAGCCACTAATACGTCTGATTATATTTAAAGGTATAGTGGATGATCTTTTATTTCTGGGTGGATCATCTCAATAGGTGGTCCTCCTAGTTGTCAATCATTCAGGTGTTTATTTAAGGCCGTCCTATGTGCTTACCCCAGTTAGCTGTCTTTCTCTGCGCATGCGCAATTTCAGGCGTATATCTGTGGTGAGCTACTGTTTCAGGCAGTCATTGAAGCTCACCTTTCTCAAAGCGGTTCTTTGAAAATGGCCGAGAGTCGTTAGAGGAAAAGTGACTATTAAGGGTATAAGAAGAAAAAAGAGGCCTCAAAGAGACAAATATACCCCGGAATTCTTTGTGCAGAGAGCTATCCTCGCATATGCCGTCACCGTGGCCTGCTGTCGCCATAGGCTGTCACTACCCGATAGGGTAGGGACGACAGTGGAGGAGGAGTTACGTGATCAATTGAGCAAAAAGTAGTGATCATCTGTCCAAACGGTCAGCTGACTTAGTTCACTATATAGTCCCCGCTCTATAGTAATTGAGGGATTTATGGGTCAGGGTGGACACAGTAAGCTTGTATGAGCTAAAAGAACAGCAACTTTTAAACAGGGCGTGCAAGAGGAGAAATTTGCTCTTGCACGTGTTTAATAGGTGTTCCCTCTCGTGAGAAGGTACAGGGTTGTGCATGTGCGTTTTTTTTTAATGGAGAGGGCAGGTCTTTTAAAATTTTTGCAAAAATCATCCACAATACCTTTAAGGAGCAGAAGGACTGGAGTGATCCTCAATGGTCCTAAGTAAGTTTTTCGGTAGAAAGTGTGGAAGAAAGAACAAAGTAAATCTTAGTTTAGTGTAAATTATTATTACATAGTCTGGAGTAACAGAGGGAAATCTTTATTCAAAAGCCAATGATCTTTATTGTCATCATGAAAATATAATAAAATTTTGTTGAGACAAATGACTAAAAATGTATATTTGGAATGCTGACAGATCTTAAAAAGCCTTATATAATAATAATTAAAAAAAAAAAGGATTAAACTGTTTTTAAGTGTCATTTTGTTTTTTTCTGCATGTGTTTCCTGATGGACGTGGGAATAACAGGAATTGCCAAGGTGGGTGGGATCTGTGGCAGATCATCTGGCCCTTTCCTGGACTTGTGCAGCATAAACCGAGTCAGCTCCCATATCAGCTCACAATGTCACACTGAGGCACAGTGAACCTGCAGATCTAATTAGTAGAGAGACCAGTAAAGTTATAGTTGGGGCACCACTGTGTGAGATCAAGAAACTCTTCTCTATAGAGGGTCTAATCAGTATTTATTATGAGACCCCCCCTGAAGTGGTCTTTACTTTCTGGATAGTGGAGCAGTTGTGTCAGAAGAAAATAAAGACTGAGAAAAGGCTTAGAACAAAACTGTAGGCCAGAAGTTAGTTTCCTCATCCCCACCAACCAGGGTCTGTTGTGAAGAAGTCGCTGATCGGGGAGCAAAACTTGGCAGATATATTCAGACTGTGTAACTTCAGGCCCAGCATGTCTTGAAGGATGGTGTTAATGGGTAAGCAGAAATCCATAAAAAGCAAACTGATATAAGTTTTCAGACGCTACAAATGAGTTAAAGCTGTGGGAGAGAAAGCATGATCTGAAAAAAATATTCTACCTGTAGGTCGACTTGGTGGCATTTGTTTTACAGACTTTAGGAGGATCCTCTGACAGTTGGTCACCGTGGGATTTTATGGTCCAACCTGATACCAGGGCCTGCAGCTTTATTGATGCGGATCCACCTTAAGGTGGGAGTCACTTGGTCCAGCTTAAGGGCGAGAGGCTGAGGCTTCTCCATCTTTTTGACATTCAGTGTGACATTTTTAAAGAGAGACCAGAACCAAGTTTTAAAAATCAAAAAGTCTGTGTGGTTTGCATATTTACTTTAGCCTCTGAAACAAATTTCCCTTCATCTTTGGAGTGTGGATGGATGCAGATTGACTGAGTGAAATGCCTTGTAGGAGATTTTTGCTGTATTTGAGTACTTAAATTATGCTTTGATCTAAATCTAATCTCCCATTGTAATGGTGACTTTATATTCAAGGTGTATGTACTTTTAAAAGGTGATTTTCATTTCAATTTTAAACAGACTGTAGGCACTAGGTGATTTTGTTCCAGGCTTGACTTTTCTTTAGCTTATTTAAGGATCTCATTAAGTATGAACAGCTTTGCTGCTCAAAACTCCCTACAGTGCATGACAGGGGCCAACAGGGGCCAGTGCTCCTTCAGGACCGGTCCCGCAGCCCCTGTCCTGGCTCCTGTAATTAAGACAATTTAAAATATAGCTTCTTATGATGATATCTCATGGCTCAGAAACCATCACTGATTGGTCCCTTGCATCAATTGAAATTATAACTTTAATTTTTTTAATTCAACAATTATATAAAAACTGAGGTAATTTGCCATATTGAAATAGAATCACAATTTTTATCTGCTAGATCAGTGGCCCACAAAATGCAGTGAGAAACTTTTTGGCTCCCTTAATACATTAAAAAATGAACTAGAGCCATGTTTCTTTGTTGCTTCTTTCTTTCGCTCTGTATCCCTATGATGAAACACTGCCCCCTGGTAAATTTGGTGTAAAAATCCTACAGCATGACACTGCCACCACTTTGTTTCACTGTTGGGATAGTGTATTCCAGCATAGGTAGCATTTTAAACTTTGGCAAAATAAAAAACTTTTTTTTTTTTCTACATCTAATGAAAGCATATTTTTCAACATGTCAGTAGTGCACCCCTGACATGGCATGTTGCAAACTTTGAACAAGTCTACTGCAGATTTTTTTTTTGAATGGCTTTGTTGTTGCCATTCTGCCATGGCCATCTGTGTGGAATGTGAGACTTGTGAGGCTGAAGAGAAAATTAAATCTGGAAGATTCTTATCAGCTTTACCTGAACCACCTGCGTTGTCCCTCGTCCGGATTCAGCCATTTAAAGGCAAACTTAAACCAACTCATCTCCTCCCTCACTCTCAGACTATTCTCAGTCCCACTCATCCTCTGGTTTATTCCACCACCAGTGTCCAGGCCCCGGAGGAAGATTACTTTAATTTTTCCAAGGGAATGTTGATTCACAGCATCAAAGTCTTCTGCCGGGGCCCCAGCTCCAAAGAATTATGAATTTATGTCGACATATTCTTCTATTTCCTTGAACCCCTTGCTCACCCTGAACCAGGTTCTGCTGGAGGTTTCTTCCTGTTAAAAGGAAGTTTTCCTCTCCACTTTTGCTACATGAATGCTCGATGTGATGGATTGCACAGCTGATTTTCCATACAAAAAAATTGACCAATCTGCATGCGTTACTTGTATAAATAAACTAAATTGAATTGAATAAAACTTTTCCAATTGCAGCCTTTCTTTGTGTGAGTCTCTCCAGGTTGAAATAGTTCATTCAATCACTATTCTCATTATGAGTGCGTATGAAATCGTACGAAAAGTTATGCACCGTAATTTCGTACGTTTTGGACATTTTTTTTTGTCGTATGCGCATCTGACGCACCATTCACGAATATAGAATATAAATTACAATTAGCCCTAACCCTGACCCTAACCCTAACCCTAAGATATAAAACAACAAGCAACGTAGTTAAAGACATGAATAAGTGATGATCACTGTTTTTCCCAGTTTTACGTCCGTTTGCAGATCTGCTTTTTTTTTTCTGTCTGCCAGCGCATGCGCACTGATGTGGTTTTTTGAGGAAAAACGTCCAAAACGTACGAAATAGTGTGCATAACTTTTCGTACGATTTCATAATGAGAATAGTGATTGAATGAACTGATAATGAGAATATGTTGATTCAATAGATTCTCCAACATGATCTTTGCTGAGTCAAAATGTTTCTCTATGCTTTAGTTATTTCTTTCCTTTCCATAACTATAAGTTGTTTTCATAGTTCCAAAAATTACATTGTAACCCTGGTACTGGAGCAACATTTCACCCCAACCATTATAATACCATTGATTTATATCAGATTTTAAAGGATTCATATGAATTTCCCCTTCAGTCTACAGAATATTTCCCAAAATTCATGATCATCAATACATTGTTGGACCAATCTAAGATAGGATTTTCTAGGTGTTTTTGGCCTTAAGGCTCCCCTATGGATGGCATTTCCCCCCACTTTTATTGTTGAATCATTGACTTATTGGTATTAACTGAAGGAGGTTCAGATGGTTTTCATTTAAAACCTCTTGGATGAGTAGATGGTTTTAAAAAAGG